GTCGCCGTCGCAGAGCCAGCGGTTGGGGATGCAGCGGTTGTTCTCGCACTTGAAACGGTCCGAGGGGCAGGTGTGCTCGTCTGGGCGGGGGAGGGGAAGGAGACTCAGGACCCTGGGGCGCAAACCCCCTCCCCTCCCCCGCAGGCTCCACCTGAGCACTAGGGAGCCAGGCTGCAAGCCCTCCTGGGAATTAGCCCCATTTGGGGAAACTGAGGCACGGGGGCGGGGGGGAAGGGACTTGCCCAAGGTTACACAGGGAGACAGTGGCAGAGTGAAAATAGAACTCAGGCGTCCTGACATTTTAGCCCCGCCCCCTCCTGCAACCACTAGACCTCACTCCTCTCCCCAAGCCAGGGACAGAACCCAGGAGTCCTGACTCCAACCCCCGCTGCTGTAACCACTGCCTCCACCAGGTCGTGATCCCAGCACGGACTCTGGATTTCTCTGGGGAAAGAGCTGTGGAGTGGGTGAGGGTGGGAGGCAGGGGGCGCACACTGTTCATCCCAGTGGCGGAGGACGGTGTAACCCGGCTGGAACTCCCCGGACCCCCAGGCTCCTACGCACGGCAGAGCTCCGGCGCTTCGTCGCTGTTGTCCAGGCAGTCGTTGTCGCCGTCGCATTTCCAGCGCTCCTGGATACAGCGGTTGTTCTTGCAGGCGAACTCCCCGGGCTGGCACTGCGGAGGGGGCACGTAGGACGGGTTGGCTGCCGAGGAGAAAGCAGGAGAGGGGGGTTGATTGTGACAAAGGCCTTTTCCTTTGCAGCCGGCAGCGCATGGGGAGGCCTCCTGGGTTCCCCCCACTGCCCTGGGCCTCCCACATCGCTCCCACCAGCACGAGGGGAGGGTGAAACGCTCCCCGGCTCAGAGCAGCCGAGATCGACCCTTGTGGCATGAGGCCCAGGACGATGGGGATCCAGGCTCCCGGTCCATGAGGCTTTGCATGAGGGCGCTTAGGGGGAGCCAAACCGGGGGAGCTTTGTCCCCATTTCACAGACGAGGAAACTGACGACGTAGCAGGTGAGCCGCAGAGCCAGGGACAGAACCCAGAAGTCCTGGCTCCCAGCCCTGTGCTGGGACCGGGCTGCCGCCTCCTCCTCCCTGCCCGCTGTCTGTGTCTGACACACGTGTCTGGCAGACGGGGAAACTGAGGCATGGAGCAGTACCGGGAGTCCCCGAGGTCCCCCAGCAGCAGAGCCGGGAACGGGCGCCCGGTCCAATGGGGTGGGACCGGCTGGGAGACCCGCTCTCTCTAAGGCGGGGGTGGACTCGGCAGCCTGCAGACCCCGAAAGCATGACCCGGCGAGGGGGTGTTACTGCTAGTGGCACAGTCCCCTAGCGATCACCGTGGCAACGTACCTTGGCAGGTGACGGAGTCGGGGCCCAGGATCTGGTCCTCGGCGCAGGCGCACTGCCGGCCCCGGGGGATGGCCAGACACAGGCTGCTGCAGCCCCCGTTGTTGACACGGCAGTCGTTGGTGCCCACTGCAGGGGGCAAGGCAGGGAGTGAGAACAGCCAGACGAGGGGGGGGGGAGGAGAGGAGGCTGACTGGCTGCAATGGGGGCTGCTGGGGGCTCAGCCCCTGGGGAAAACCGGGACCCACAACTAGGCCCAATTCAGCAAGGCACCGAAGCCCTGTTGAACTGCGCAGGACCCCTTGCACGGTTAGTGTTCCGCTCCTTGGTGAAGGAAGTCCCTAGGGCATGGTGGGGGGGGTGGTGACTGCAGGGGGCAACCGTGCCCCCAACCGGCCCCAGGGGTCCTTTGCAGGGGGCCGGTTGGGGGCAGGGGCCTGAAATGACAGGAGGGGAAACACCCGGGGGGCAGGAACAAGCAGGCAGAACAGCGGCCAGGGGAGCAGAAAGCACCGGGGCTGACAGCCGGGGGGCAGAGGGAGGGATCCAGGGGGGCCCAGCACCCAGACTGAGGAGCCCTAGATGTGGCCCGAGGCCCCTCCAGCTTTGACCTCCCAGCCCCACATCAGGATCTCTTTCAGACAGGGCCCCCTCCCGGTATGGCCAGGACCTAGGGGCAGAGAGAGAGAAAGCACCCAAGTCCCAGCCGGTTCCCTCCGGCGCCTGCCCCGGGACGGAGCAAGGGCAGCGGGCTCCCCCCCAGGGCCCAGCGCCCCCGTGCGGTCGATCACACCATCTCACGCTGCCTGTGCACCAGGGCGAGCGGTTGCACGCGCCACAGGGTGACAGAGCACCAGGCCCTTACACACACACACACACACACACACACACACACACACACACACGCACGCACACACGCACGCACGCACACACGCACGCACGCACACACG